CCAGGTGGGTCTTGAACCCGTGGGCTCAGGCAATCCACTCACCTCAGCCTCCCGAAGGCGTGGGATTACAGGCTGAGCCACCGAGCCCGGCAAGCCCGTGGGTTTGAGACCTGCCTGGGCAACTTGGTGAGACCTCATCTCTACAATAAATCAAAAATTAGCGGGGAATGGTAGTACACACCTGTAGTTCCAGCTACTTGGAAGGCTGAGGCGGAAGGATCGCCGGAGTCCAGCAGGTCGAGGCTGCGGTGGCTGGGAGCGGCCACTGCATTCCAGTCTGGGCAACAGAGTGAGACTCCAACTCAAAAAAATAGAAATCCAATTTACCTAATTTTTCTTTTGTTGTTTTTCCTTTTTGGTGTCATATCTAAGATTTCATCACTAAATCCAAGACCATGAATATTTATATCCCCCCGTGTTTTCCTCAGAGTTTTAGTTATTGGTACATGCTTAATTTTTATATATGGTATGAAGTGTAGGAGTCCAGTTTTATTCTTTTTCTTTTTTCTGTTTTTGAGTTGGAATCTCACTCTGTTGCACAGACTGGAGTGCAGTGGCATGTTCCCAGCCACTGCAGCCTCAACCTGCTGGGCTCTGGCGATCCTTTCACCTCAGCCTTCCAAGTAGCTGGAACTACAGATACGCACTACCACGCCCGGCTAGTTTTTTATTTTACTGTAGAGACGAGGTTTTGCCAAGTTGCCTGGGCGAGTCTCAAACCCGTGGGCTCAGGCAATCCTCTCGCCTCGGCCTCCCAAAGTGCTGGGATTACAGGCTGAGCCACCGAGCCTGGCCTGACTTTTTTATTTTATTGTAGAGACGAGGTCTCTTCAAGTTGCCCAGGCGGGTCTCGAACCCGCGAGCTGAGGCAATCCACTCACCTCAGCCTCCCAAAGCGTGGGATTACAGGCTGAGCCACCGAACCTGGCAAGTTTTAGGCTTTTACATGTGGAAATCCAGCACCATTATTGAAGAGCATTTAGGCTTTCTTTTTTTTTTTTTTGAGTTGGAGTCTGCCCAGGCTGGTCTCGAACCCCCTGGGCTCAGGCAATCCTCTCGCCTCAGCTTCCCAAAGTGCTGAGATAGAGGCTGAACCACTGTGCCCGGCCTAGGCTTTTTTAAAAATTTGTGGCTGGGCTCGGTGGCTCAGCCTGTAATTCCAGCATTTTGGGAGGCCAAGGCGAGTGGATTGCCTGTGCCTGTGGATTTGAGACCAGCCTGGGCAACTTGGCGAGACCTCGTCTCTACAATAAATCAAAAAATAGCTGGGCCATGGTGGTGCATGCCTGTAGTTCCAGCTATTTGGAAGGCTGAGTCGGAAGTATCACCTGACCCTAGCAGGTCGAGGCTGTGGTGGCTGTGAGCATGCCACTGTACTCCAGCCTGGGCAGCAGGGTGAGACTCCAACTCAAAAAACAGGGGAAGTATTTGTAGTATACACAAAATTATGGAGAACATATGAATATATACCCATTTACTCAGTACCTACCATTAACAAATTTTTTTTTTTAGTTGGAGTCTCATTCTTTTCCCAGACTAGAGTTCCAATGGCATGCTCCTGGCCACCACAGCCTCCATCTGCTGGGCTCCTGCAATCCTTCCACCTCAGCTTTCCAAGTGGCCAGAACTACAGGCATGTGCTGCCATGCCCGGCTGATTTTTTTATTTACTGTAGAGACGAGGTCTCAGCAAGTTGCCCTGGCTGGTCTTGAACCTGCAGACTTAGGCAATCCACTCGCCTTGGCCTCCCAAAGTGCGGAGATTATAGGCCGAGCCACCAAGCCCGGTCTTTTTTTGAGTTGGGGTTTCACTCTGTCACTCAGGCTGGAGTGCCATGGTATAATCATGGCTCACTGCAGCCTTGACTTCTGGGTTCAGGCAGTCCTTCTGTCTCAGCCTGCCAAGTAGCTGGAACTATCGGCATGCACTACCACACCCACCTAATTTTTTTATTTTTATTTTTGTAGAGATGAGGTCTTACTATGTTGTGCAGGCTCGTTTCAGACTCTCCTGGGCTCAAGTGATCTTGCTGCCTTGGCCTCCCAAAGTGCTAGATTATAGGCATAAGCCACTGTGCCTGACCTCAGGTTGTTTTTAGAACAAAGCATACAGTTAAAGCTATTAATTTCTTTAAATTTCAGGTGCTATATGAATAAATGAGGCATAAAAGTCTATTAAAGCTGTGGTGAGGATTAAATTACATAGTGTTTGTAAAGTAGTTACCTTATACAAAAAGACTGAAATGATCTTTGATTTCGGGTTAGAGTTCTTGGTGTCTGAGTGTTCAAACACCTCAGTGTGTAGATCTGGTTTTGAGACAACCCTTTGTCCGTTGGAAGAGGGTGGTGCACACCATTGAGCTGGTTATTAATTAGTGGTACCTTTCTCTTGCAGTGTGCCCAGCTGGCTGGAAGCCTGGCAGTGATACCATCAAGCCTGATGTTCAAAAGAGCAAAGAATATTTCTCCAAGCAGAAGTGAGCGTTGGGCCATTTTAGTGCTGAGCTGCGCTGGGCAGCCATGAGAACAAAAACCTCTTTTATACTTTTTTTTCATGCATAAAATACAAGGCTTTAGATTCAGCTGAGATGTGGTATGTTACAAGACAGGCCATCTGATTCGTATGATGTATAAGTAGTTGGCATCACCCCACTGATCTTTTGTAGTAGTTCCTATTAAACTTGAACTGCGACCTTGATGATTTCTTTATTTTTAGGGGCCTTTTTCTGTTTGCTTTTCCTCTTTAGGGGAGAAAATGAGGGAGAGCTGCCTTAGAATCAGGGAATTATATTAAGGAGAAATGCATGTAGACACAGGGAAGTGGAACTCAATCAAGGTGTTAACATTTTATTTCACTGCATAAGGGGTAGAAGAGTGAGCCCTGGTATATTGTTGGCTGGAGCACTGCAACTTACACTGTAGGCTGGGTTGTAGGTCAAGGTCTCAGTGCAATTACTTTATACTACCGAGAGGGCTGCAAAGGAATCAGAAGCTTGAGTTCTTCTGATTAGTGCCTGGTAAAAAAAAAACAACAGTTGTGGGATCTTCTATCCCTTTTGAACTGAAGTTGGGGAAGAGGAAGACAAACAAGACTGGTGGCTTTGGGTAGGTCTTTCAGTAGTAGAAATACAGTGGTGGGCACATCTTACTTTCTCTGGGTTATACCGTTGATTAGAGGTTACTCTTTTTTGATCCTCATCTATATCAGTGTCCTGAGGGAGGTTGTCAGTGGGAAAAAGTTACCTGGGCCCTTGAAGCTAGGGTAGAGTCAGAACTGAGGGTTTTGTGTATCGTGTGGTACTCTTCAAGCCACTTGCCGTTATCAGCTACCCCAACCTCTCCACCCTTCCAGAACCCAGACTAGATTTATGAATAGCAGTGCAGGATTCCCAGGGCCTTCATTAAGAGCCAACATACCAGCTGAGCATGGTGGCTCATACCTGTAGTCCCAGCATTTTGAGGAAGTGAGATGATTACCTGAGCCCAGGGGTTCGAGACCAGCCCAGGCAACTTGGCGAGACCTCATCTCTAATAAATCAAAAAATAAGCTGCACTGGTGGTGAGCGCCTGTGGTTCCAGCTATTTGGAAGACCGAAGCAGAAGGATCATCTGAGCCCAGCAGGTTGAGGCTGTGGTGGCTATGAGTGGGCCACTGCATTCCACACTCCAGCCTGGGCAACAGACTGAGACTCCAACTTAAAAAAAAAAGACAACATACCATTTACTATAGGCTAGGTACTTTTCCAAAACACTTCACATGTGTTTATTGAGTCCCCACGACAACCCTATGAAGTAGGTACTCTTTAAGGGATGTTTACCTATAACAAGTAGGATTTTGGGGCACTGCATAGAAATGGTAACAGATACAAGCCATATTTGAAGGCAGAAGGAAATTCTGTATCTTCCTTGGCCTTTGATTTATCTTGATCAAACTTAACCTTCATAGAAGATCTCCATTATCAAAGATAGTACCCAAAATAAAACCTCTTGCTTTGCCAGAGCCAATTAAGTTATAGCAAGTAAATCGGGGTCCCATGGGGGGAAGGTATCAAGGCCCAGGGGATATGGTTGGTGAGATGCTGGGGCTGAGCCAGCCTCGGGCTCTGCCGGGATTCTGAGGCTTAGGGGTTACTATGGTAAGGGGAAGGTCAGGGGATGGAGAGCCAGGCCCCTCTGAGGGTGGGGCCAAGCCCAACAGGGCTAATCGTTGGGCAGGTGGAGTGGAAAAGTAGGCCTTCTGCTCTTCTGAGTAGCGTTCCTGGGGTGTCATGGCATCCCGGTAGGTCCAGTCGCGCCAGTGGAAATTAAAGCCTTCAAGTAGGGTAATACGGTCAGCTCTTGTAGGTACACAGTCATGAGGTTTTCTGGGAGGCAAATCTGGCACTTCTAGGCCTGGCAGCAGCACTACCCCTCGGATGGCAAACCAACCGCCAAATCGGGGGTGTATGCATACACCTGATATATGCTGGGGAGAGGGTGAAGAAAAGCAAGGTCATGGGTGTCTCTTTGGCACCAAGTACAGTTATTATCACTACAAGCTATGCTTGCCCACTTATTTATCATTCAGTGGATACTACAAATAAGATTAGACATGTAGCGTCTAGACAACCCTTTAATAAGTTTATTCCTTAAGCAAGAGGAAGGCTAGCCGGGCTCGGTGGCTCAGCCTGTAATCCTGCGCCTTTGGGAGGCTGAGGTGAGTGGATTGCCTGAGCCCGTGGGTTCGAGACCTACCTGGGCAGCGAGACCTCATCTCTACAATAAATCAAAAAATCAGCCGGGCATGGTAGCGCATGCCTGTAATTCCGGCTACTTGGAAGGCTGAGGTGGAAGGATCGCCAGAGCCCAGCAGGTCGAGGCTGCGGTGGCCGGGAGCGGCCACTGCACTCAAAAAAAAAAAAAAAGAGGAAGGCTGTGCCTCAGTCAACCTCCTAGTCTCACCACTGGTCTCCCCATCACTCTTCTATCCCTTCCTTCCCCATCCTGAGATGGCCTTGCCAACCACGTCTTCTGACCTGATGTGTTTCTGGGTAAACTCCAGAAAGCATGTGGTAGGACTGACCTCTGGCTAGGACATAGCTACTTTGTCCTAGATTGTATCTAACAAATCCTTTATCGAGGTACAGGGAAGGCTGAGGAATGTGAGATATCTTTTTTTCTTGGAATCGGAGTCTCACTCTCTCGCTCAGGCTGGAGTGCAGTAGCATGCTCCCAGCCACCCCAGCGTTGTTGACCTGCTGCGATCCTTCCACCTCAGCCTTCCAAGTAGCTGGAACTACAGGCGCGTGCTACCATGCCTGGCTAATTTTTTGATTTGTAGAGATGAGGTCTCACCATGTTTCCCAGACTGTTCTTGAACCCGTGGGCTCAGGCAATCCACTTGCCTCGGCCCCCCAAAGTGCTGGGATTACAGGCTTGAGCCACCGCACCAGGCAGGAATATGTGACATCTTGAGGGGTCTTTACCACTTCCTCACAGGCCCCCCACATTCACTCTTGCTCTCTAACCTGAGTCCCCCAGGGGTCATCCTCTACATCTTGTCGTTGGTAGTAGTAAGCAGCCCCTGCCACATGGGCTGCTGTCTGGGCCAGAATCTTGGGGCGCCGGTTGGCATGTACCTCGTAGTCAGCGATGACCTCTATCTGCAGCTCTGGGAGGCTCTGGAGAGAGGACAAGATAGAGGCTCTTGTCACCACAAGGGGGGAATCATGACCTTGTCCTAGGGAGCCCTAGTTTGTGTAATTGTTAACATGGTCTTGTCAGAAGTCCTGTTTGAAGGGAAACGTGACCTTAACCTGGGGGGAATCCAGTGGAGATAGTTTTAGTTCTTTCCAGGAGGGCCCATGTTTGGAGGGGAATACACAAGTCCCAGTGTGGAGGAAGACATGGCTCAGCTTTGGGGAGACCCAGTGTATGTGTACACATAGGTATGTGTATATGTGAGTATGTAGTGGGTAAACATTGTTCTGTCCTCAAAAGGACCCAAAGACAGCATTAAAGCTTGCAGGTTTAGGGCAAAGGCAGATGTCTGGGGAGTGCTAGACTCATTTAATTCCACTTAGAGGCCAAGGAAAGCCTGGCCTGATGTTCATATAGTTGTCCATCATGTAGGGTGAATGAGACTGATTTCAGATTGGGAGTCAGCTAGAGAAAGGTGTGGAAAATGCATGTGAGAAGGCAGAATGGGGAGAGATCACAGAATGTCAAGCCTGGCTTTAGGGTATAATTTCATCTTTGAAATGGCTCCTAGCTCTAGATCCTGCATTGAGTTTGGAGGATCTGGAGATAGCTGGAGGCTTGGGAGCAGGGGAGAAATTGAGCTTTCCTCACCTCTCTAACACGGCCCAGATGGTAGGCCACACACTGGTCCACAGGATCCGTCAGCAATTGCAGGTGGCAGCTCTTTAAAAAGGGCTTGAGGGCTCGGTCAAACATGGCAGGTGTACTGAGTACCAAGAAGGCCAGGGTAGGTCCTGGCAGGGGCAGATGGAAGGCTGGAGGCAGAAGTTCATTGTACCATGCCACCTGGAACAGAGAGAAACTTCAGGCTAGAGAGCGCCAGCTTACGCCTTAGCCAGGCCTGTACCTTAAACTGATATTGAAGGCCTCATTTTGACCCAACCTCCATCTCATTCAGTGAACTTTCACTGATCCTGTGTGAGGCATGTTTATGGGGAAATATCTGAAGTTGACAAGGAATTTACTTTTACAAGGAAGAATTCAGGCCTCACCCATCTACAAACCAACAAAAATGAGAAACCTCAGGAAGGAGACTTCATACAGCAGGGTTCACAAATGCATAACTGAGTGTATAGAAAGAATTGAAGTGGCTGTCAATGCACTCACCCTCCAAGTCGGACACCTTGAAGGCAATTTTTTTTTTTTTTTTTTTTTGAGTTGGAGTCTCACTCTATCACCCAGACTGGAGTGCAGTGGCCGCTCCTGGCCATCGCAGCCTCGACCCGCTGGGCTCCAGCGATCCTTCCTCCTCAGCCTTCCAAGTAGCTGAAACTACAGGTGTGCACTACCACGCCCGGCTAATTTTTGATTTATTGTAGAGATGAGGTCTCACCAAGTTGCCCAGGCGGGTCTCGAACCTGTGGGCTCAGGCAAGGCATTTTTTTAAAATTGGAAAATATAGGTTATTTAGAAATTAAATTGGAGAGAGGAGAGGGGGGAGAGAGAGAGAGTAAGAGAGAGAGGAGATTCACCTACTCAAGATAAGGGAGGGGGCCAAAGCTTAGGAAAACATGGCGGGGTCATAGCTCAAAAAACACTTGGCCAAATGATAGCAAGGCAATGGCCAAAAGCATTCTGAGATGCACTGAAACCAAGATCAGAGCCATAACAGTTGTTCAGAAAAATATAGTTCTTGGGCATGGTGGCTCACACCTGTGATCCCAGCACTTTGGGAGGCAAGGCAAGAGGATTGGTTGAGTCCAGGAGTTTGAGATCAGCCTAGGCAACATAGCAAGATCTTGTCCCTACAAAAAAAAAAAAGGTCAGCTGGGCTCAGTGGCTCAGCCTGTAATCTCGCGCCTTTGGAATCTGAGGTGAGTGGATTGCCTGATCGCGTGGGTTCAAGACCCGTTTGGGCAACTTGGCGAGACCTTATCTCCACAATAAATCAAAAATGAGCCAGGTGTGGTAGCGCGCACCTGTAGTTCCAGCTACTCGGAAGGCTGAGGCGGAAGGAGCACCAGAGCCCAGCAGGTCGAGGCTGTGGTGGCCGGGAGCAGCCACTGCACTCCAGTTTGGGTGACAGAATGAGACTCCAACTAAAAAAAAAAAAAAAAAAAAACCCAAAAAAACAGGCATGTGTGCCTGTAGTCCCAGCTATTCAGGAAACTGAGGTGGGAGAACTGCCTGAGCCCAAGAGGTCAAGGCTGTGGTGAGCGGTGATCCTGTCACTACATTCCAGCCTGGGTGACAGAGTGAGACCCTGACTCAAAAAAAAGAAAAGAGCCAGGCTTGATGGCTCATGCCTGTAATCCTAGCACTTTGGGAGGTAGAGGCCATAGGATTGCCTGAGTCCAGGGGTTCGAGACCAGCCGGGCAACTTGGCAAGACCTCATCTCTACAATTAAAAACAAAACAAAACAGAAGCCAGGCATGGTGGTGCATGCCTGTAGTTCCAGCTACGTGGAAGACTGAGGTGGAAGGATCACCTGAGCCCAGCAGGTCAGCCTGGGCAACATAGCAAAAGCTTGTTTCTGGAATGAATGAATGAATGAATAAATAAATAAGCTGGGCATGGTAGCATGTGCCTGTAGTCCCACCTACTTGGGTGGCTAAGGCAGAAGGATTATCTGAGCCCAGGAAGTCAAAGCTGTCATGAATCATGATCCTTGTGATCATGCCAGGGCACTCCAACCTGGGTGACAGAATGAGACCCTGACTCAAAAATAGTAGTAATTGGCTCGGATCGGTGGCTCAGCCTGTAATCCCAGCACTTTGGAAGCCCGCGGGTTCGAGACCAGACATGGGCAACTTGGTGAGACCTCATCTCTACAATAAATCAAAAATTAGCCGGGTGTGGTAGTGCATGCCTGTAGTTCCAGTTGCTTGGAAGGCTGAGGCGGAAGGATTGCCAGAGCCCAGCAGGTCGAGGCTGCAGTGGCCGGGAGTGGCCACTGCACTCCAGTCTAGGTGACAGAGTGAGACTCCAACTAAAAAAATAATAATAATTGTAATCATAATATAGTCAATCTCAAGAAGCATGTTGCTGCAACCAAGGCTGAGACCAAGAAAGCCACCTGAACTCTCAATGCTTTTCACACCAGGGCCTAACTCAGTTATCTTTAAATGACACAAGCCAATGTGGTTCTATCTGCCCCTTCCCAAATAGTACTTTTTTTTTTCTACTCTGTCGCCCAGGCAGGAGTGTGGTAGCATGCTCACAGGCACCAAAGCCTTGAACTGCTGGGTTTAGGCGAACCTTCCACTTCAGCCTTCCAAGTAACTGGAAAGACAGGTGTGCGCCACCACACCCAGCTAATTTTTTAATTTACTGTAGAGACGATGTCTCACCAAGTTGCCCAGGCTGGTCTCGATCCCCTAGGCTTAGGCAACCCTTTTGCCTCAGTCTCCCAAAGTGCTGAGATTACAGGTATGAGCTACTCCATTGGCTTCTTTTTTTTTTTCCTTATCCTTTTTAAATTTTTTTTTTAATTGGGGTTCTCACTCTGTCGCTCAGACTGGAGTGCAGTGATACAATCATGGATCACTGCAGCCTTGACCTCCTGGGCTTAAGCTAGCCTTCTGCCTCAGCCTCCCAAGTAGCTGGAACTATAGGTGTGTGCCATCATACCTGGGTAATTTTTAAATTATTATAGAGATGAGGTCTCACTGTATCGCACAGTCTGGCAGTTTCTTATTTTTTAATTTTTTTGAGTTGGAGTTTTACTCTGTCACTTGGGCTGGAGTGCAGTGGCATGCGCACGGCCACCACAGCCTCGACCTGCTGGGTGAACACAACCTGCAATGTGAGCTTGCTGGGTTACATGGTTGTAGAAGTTGCTGCTATTCACACAAAGTGCTACAAATATACCTGCTTCACCTACTGGGGATTTTTGGCTTGTATAGCTCAGAACACTTGACACAGGTCTACATGGGCTACCTGGGCTGTGCATTATGTTGTTTTTTGTTTTGAGTTGCAGTCTCATTCTGTCACCCAGGCTATAGTGCTGTGGCACACTCCCAGCCACTGCAGCCTCGACCTGCTGGGCTCAGGTGGTCCTTCTGCCTCAGCCTTTCAAGTAGCTGGAACTACAGGCATGTGCCACCACACCCAACTGATTTTTTGATTTATTGTAGAGACAAGTTCTCACTAAGTTGCCCAGGCTGGCCTCCAAACCCTGGGCTCAGGCAGTCCACTCACCTCTGCCTCCCTAAGTGCTGGGATTACAGACATGAGCTGCCGTGTCTGGTTCAGGCTGTGCATTATCGAGACAGAGCAGGATGACCACTACCCATTTGACTGCAGCTAATATTACTCCTGTAACAGGTGCTCAGCCAGTAATATGACTGTTGTGGGTAGGTCTGTTCCTCCTCTAGTCTACTATAGCTTCATGGATACCATGACAGAGAATTTAGAATAGAGAGGCAGAGAGTTCATGAATCACTAAAAACAACAGAAATTGACTCCACTGTGATTAGTTCAAAAACAGGGCTAGATGAAGGTCCTCTGAAATTAGAAAAGGCTTTATCAGAAGCTAAGTCTTGAAGGCTGGAAAGTGAACTGTCAGGTTGATATGGGGAGGAGAATCTGGTGTATATTTTGAACAGAGATCATAGACTGGGTGTGGTGACTTATTCCTATAATCCCAGCACTTTGGGAGGCCAAGGTTGGAAGATTGCTTGAGTCCAGTAGTTTGAGACCAGCCTGGGTAACAGCCAGACGCTGTCTCTACAAAAGAATTAAAAAATTAGCAAGGCATGGTGGTGCATGCCTACAGTCCTAGCTACTTGAGAGACTGAGATGGAAGATCACTTGAGCCCAGGAGTTCGAGGCTGTAGATGACCTATGATCATGTCACTGCATTCCAACCTGGACAACAGAATGAGACTCGATCTATAAAAGTATAAATAAAAAATAAAATATAGGCCAGGCTCGGTGGCTCAGCCTTTAATCCCAGCACTTTGGGAGGCTGAGCTAAGTGGATTGCTTGAGCCCGCGGGTTTGAGACCAGTCCAGGCAACTTGGCGAGACCTCGTTTCTTCAATAAATCAAAAATTAACTGGGCGTGGTAGCATGGGTCTGTAGTTCCAGCTACTCAGAAGGCTGAGGTGGAAGAATTGCTGGAACCCAGAAGGTTGATGCTGGGGTGGCCGTGAGCATGTGTGTCACTGCCCTCTAGCCTGGGCGACGGAGTGAGACTCCGACTCAAAAAAAAAAAAAAAAAAAAAAAAAAAA